TGTCACAGAAGAAGAAACACAAACTGTCAACATTCCAACATCATTAGCTTCCAGGAAAACGTAAATTAAAACCATACTGAGATACTACCAGATACATACACTTGCAAGAGGGATTGGGATTAAGGGCACTGTTGGGGGGGATGCAGCTCAGATGGGTCCACAGGTGAACCTGGGATCTCAGCCCAATGATGCCTCAACCACTTGCTTTCATGAAACATTCTCAGAGACTCATAATGGAACAGAAATACAAGAAGCTAAAGCTTACAAGCAAGTCCCAGTGGAGCCCTTCACATGAGGTTTACACTGAGTAGTTTCTAGCATTCCTGGAGGGTCCAAAGACCTAAACGTGCTGCCTGAGCTCAGCACTGTGTATGAGTTCCGTGCTTTGTAAGAGCTGAGGGATTCTACTCCACAGGGCCAATACTAGCCACAGGACACCTGTCTTGTCTACTTTAGATATTCCCTTTCTCCTCTAATCAGGTGAAGAATACAACTTAAATAGCTGTGTGGTATGACCACACTCAACTTAGGTACAGCAACTTTTCCTTTTATAATTCCATAGTCAGAATTATTAGCATTTGAAGTACACAAAGACTTCATGAGAATCCTTATCAGTCAGTACTACAAACAACACAGCTGTGTGTGGTGAAGCCAGTGCCTGCTGCACACTGGGCCTTTACCACACTGAGCAGCACACCTTGGGGGCGTTGCAGGTCAGCCTCATGCTCCTTCTGGCTGGAGCTTGTGCTCCCAGGAGGATTGCTTAGGTCCCATTCACACTCGGCAATTAGATTCAGGACGGCCTCGTCATCTGCATCCATAACCAAGCACTTCTTGGCTGAGGCATCAGTGCACCAGCCTCTGGAGTGGCGTGGTCTGCAAGGGAAAACAAACTCATTAGCATCAGCAGCCTGCACGTGCTCTGGCCTGCAGGGAACATGCACATATCTCCTGAGAGGAGGAGCTCAAGGCAGCGGTGGTCTGACAGCTCTGGTCACTCTACTGCAAAGGCCCAGAGGAGGATCTCACACAGGACATCTGGCTACCGACAGCAAAGTCTTGAGATACCACCCCATTACCCCAACATTAGATAGAACCCTACCAGGACTGGCTCAAAAATGAAAGTCCTAGGGAGTTCCGCTGTTCCACAATCCCCTTGCAGGCTAAAATTCAGCTTGCTCTTTTCCTAACAAACCCACAAACAGAACACACACGATGCAAGAAATTAAAAAATATCATGTTTCTAGTATCTATTTTTTGCATCAAGGTGAATTACTTCTACACTGATTGAAATGTGAGATGCTAGGATGTGACAGCAGCTCTCTATAAGAAGATGAACGCACTCAAAGCGTCCTTCCTTACAACAAAGGCTGCTGAAGAAATCTCCCTTCAAAATAAACCCAATGCACATTCTATGAATACTGGCTTTAGGAGATGGTTCACTGATGACATCTACTCCACTGTAAGAGGCTGGGCATGATTGAGAGTTCTGTAGAGCACAGCCCAAAGGGCCTAGGGCCTGGTTCTCAGCCTGGCCATGACACCTGATATCCATGGTACAGGTGCTGGTGTCCATGGTCACCACTGGCAGTTGGAGACTGACCAGAGCCACCTACTTTATCCTTAGTTTTGAACTTTATGACAACTCAGCCTTGCAGCCACCAGGAACAAGCAGTGGTGCAAAGGACCTGAGTGGGCAGGACACTCGACACACATGAAGATGAGTCTGCTGAGACTCTCCAGTCTGAGGAACAGGAAGAAAACAGAAAAGGGAAATGAACAGTTTCAAGGGCTTCAGGATACCACCAGCAGACCCATGTGGGCAGTATGGGAGCCCCCAGAGGGTAGGCAGAAGCCATGACTGCAACAGCCAAGCTGATGGAAACATCTGTCCGTTGTGCTACTGTGAAATGTTTGCTCTTCCTCCCCATTTCCTAACACTCAACGGACTAGTGTCTCATATGTGCTGGTGGCTGGGTCCTTGTAGCTCCAGAAGGGGCTGTCACCAGAGACCCAGGCAGAATCATCAATGCCAATGATGCAACCAACTGTGCCTACATAATGAAGCCTTCATAAACACCCAAGGACAAGATTTAGAGAACTTCCAGAAAACCAAAATGTGGAGGTCCCCAAGGGTGGTGCCTAGGCAGTCCTGGAAGCTCCATGCCCCTCCCACACAGAGGCCCTTCTCATGACCAGTAAACGGTCGTGTTTCCCTGAGTTCTGTGAGCTGCTCCAGCAAATTAACTGTACCTGAGGAGAAAAATAGAGAACCCCAGTTGGGAAGTCCTATCACCTCACCTAACTTTACTGCACTCTGCAGATATTGTGGCTTTTACAAATTGAGATTTGTGGCATCCTGTGTCAAGCAAGTCCTTCGGGACCACTACTCAACAGCCTGGAATCACTTTGTGACTCTGGTTCACATTTTGGTAATTCCCAAAATATTTCAATACTATTACATGTGTTATGATGGCTTGTGATCAGTGACCTTTGATGTTACTATTGTAATTGTTTTGGGAGGACATGAAACAAGTTGACAAATTTAATTGGTGTGTTCTGTTACCCCAGCTCTCTCCCACTCCCTGGGGCTCCCTATTCTCCAAGACACAATGATATTGAAATCAGACCAACTAATAGTCCTACAATGGCTTCTAAGTGTTCAAGTGAAAGCAAGAGTCATATACCTCCCACTTAAATCAGGAGCTAGACATAACTAAGCCTAACAAGGAAGGCAAGTCAAAAGTCAAGACTGGATGAAAGCTAGGCTTTTTGCACCAAACAGCCAAGATGTGAAAGCAAAGGAAAAGTTATTGAAAAAAATCAAAAGTGAACACACAATACTACTCTACTGAGTATACAAATAATATGAAAGCAAAACAGCCTCATTGCTGACATGGCCTGGATAGGAGATAAAACCAGCCACAACGTTCCCTTGAGCCAAGACTCATCCAGGGTCAGGCTCTAACTCCCTTCAGTTCTAGGAAAGCTGAGGCAAGGAAGCTGCAGAAGACAAGTTTGGCTCACAGCTTTGAAACATAAGAGCACACAATGCAATAGGTATTGGCACAAGGGCAGCAGTGTAAGCCATCCTGGAGATCCAGCTAAGGTAGTGATGAGGATAGCTGTGTCACATAGCAGACTTCCTGTGCAGATCAGACAGCCTTCCTTTGGAAGAGGAAGCTCTCTAGGACTTTCATAGCTAGAAAGCAGAAAAAGACCTGATGTGCTAATCAGCTTTCCATCGCTATAATGAATACCTGAGATAAATCAACTTAAAAGGAGGAAAAGATTATTTTGGCTCATGATTTCAGCCCATGGTCACTTGATCCTGTTGCTTTGGGCCTGTGGTGAATCATGGTGGGAGCATGTGGCAGAGAACACTGCTTATCTCATGCAGGCCAGGAAGTGAAGACAGGGAGTAGAGGGGCCCAGGTCCCAATACCCTCTCCAAGGGCACACGTCCAATGACCTGACTTCCTCCAACTAGGCCCCATCTCTTAAAGGTTCCATTACCTCCCAACAGTGTCACTGGCTAGGGACCAAGCCTTCAACTAATGGGCCATTGGGGGCATTCCAGACCAAATTATGTGACTTAACCAACCATGTGCCTATAATGGAGATTCCTTAACAACCCTGAACAAGGCTTCCAACTTGGAGCCAAGAGGCAGAAGCTCCTGTGCTAGGGACCCTTCTGAACTTCCCCAAAGTGCCTATGACCTGGATGTTCAAGAATGTCCTTCACAGGATCTTTTATAATAAAGGATGTAAGTGAATTGTTTGCCTGAGTGTGTGAAGCCATCTGCAAGTCATCACACTTAAAGGTGGGGAGATTCTGGAAACCCCCAACCTTGCAGCCAAGTCAGGCAGAAACATGGGAACCCTCAGCATCTAATTCTTCCACCTGGCATCTAAAGTGGAGAATTCCTGTTGGAATGAGTCCTTAAACAAGAGTGCCTGGACCACACATTCCAGGGGGTCAGTACTAGACTGAAGTGAAGGTTAGGGTGCTGCCTGGTGCCTGCAGTTAGAGAACTGGAGGTATTACAAATGACACTATGCACTTAGTGTCAGGAAGAAAAGACCTACACAAGTTGAGGTCATGTTGTGAGTGAAAACAGTTCATAAATATATTAAAAAGCTGATTTTAAAAAATACTAGTCTTGGTGTGGTGGTATGCATCTGTAATTGTAGCTATTTGGGAGGCAAAGAATAGGAGGATTCTGGTTTGAGGCCAGCCTACACAAAATGTTAGTGAGACCCCATCTCAACCAACAAGATGGGTATGCTGGCATGTGCCTATAATCCCATGGAAGGCATGCGTAGGAGGAATGTGGTCTGAGGCTGGCCCTAGATAAATATGAGACCTTATCCAAAAAATAACTAAAAGCAAAAAAAGGCTGGAGGTGTGGCTCGAGTGGTAGGATGCATGCCCAGCAAGCATGAGGTCTTAGTTCAAACCCCAGTATTGCGCACACACCACACACACACACACACACACACACACACACACACACACACACAATACACACACACACAGTCAGTCGGTCAGTGGAAAAAAACCACCTATAGAGAAGCAAGGATAAGATTTACATCTGACTTCTATTCAGAGACCATGCAAGAAAGAAGAGAGTGGAGCAAAGTAAAGTGTTGAAAGAAAGAAAACATTAACCTAGAATTCCATCTCTAGTAAAATATCCTTCAAAAGTGAAGGCAAGGGAGCTGGGGTGTAGATCAGTGGTAAAGCCTTGCTGAGCATACACAAGGCCCTGGGTTCAAAACCCTAGCACTACAAAAAGAAAAAAATGGTGAATACTGTCTTAGAAAAACAAAAACTGAGGGAATGAGTTGCTAGTAGAAATGCCTTGCAAGAGATGTCAAAAGCAGTTATTCAGAGAAAAGGAGATTGTCTTGGATCAAAAGCGTGGATCTATATTTAAGAAAAGGAGAGCACTAGAGAAGGAATAAGTGAGGACAAAATAACAACTTTTATTTTTATTATTCTTAACTGATTTATTATTATTCTGATTCCTTACCAATAGGTTTGTCCAAAGTAATAATAGAAAGACTGCATGTGGTCATGCATGCTTGTGTATCATACATGCATGACCACAGCCAGGTGTTATGTAATGAACGACACCAGTGACACGAATGAGGACGAAGAATACAATGATGATCAGAGGTACCTGTAGGATCTGTGACATGGTAGTGTTAACTAAAAGTGATGTATAATGCAAACTCTAGGGAAATCACTGAAAAAGGTTAAAAAAAGAAGTATATATAATTTTTAAGCTAAGAAAAATGCAGTCACATAAGATGCTCATTTAAAGCTATGAAGGCAGAAAGACAAAAGACAAAAATAGGAAAAAGAAACAATGGTAATGAATAGAAAATAGTAATGAACACAGGCGATATCAACCCAACTATGTTTGTAAACATTGTACATGTCAATGTCTAAAAACCAACTAAAAGAAACTGTCAGAATAGATTAAAAAAAAAAAGACCCAACTGTACATTGTCTAAAAGAAACCCACTTTAAATACAAAGAAACAAAGAGACCAAAAGTAAATGTGTAGAGACACCACCTAACCCAACCAAAAGACAGCTGGAGTGGCTACATGAATTCCAGATGAGGACTTCTTAGCAAGAGTTGTAAGTGAGAAGAGGGCATCACAAAATGATGAGGGGTCAACTGTAAGATGTCATGATCCTTCACATGTCTGTGGCTAACAACAGAGTGTCAAGACAAGTCAGGCACATCTGAGAAACTTCAAGGACAGAGAACAAATCCGCTGCTACAGTTAGAAACTTCCACACCATCTGATCAGAATTGAGCAGATCCAGAGACCAGAAGTCACCAAGGATACAGCTGACCT